GGCTGGAGGGGGTACATGGGGGTGGATCATTTTCCAATGACAGATGTTCATCCCGCGTCTGTGGGTGGAATGCGCAGGAGGCGAGCGGCCGGCCGCCGTGTCCCGCGTCATGTGACTCCGGAGGAACTCTCCGGGGACTGAAGGGGGCCATTGTCTGCCCGCTGGGACCGCGCCATCCCCCGAAGAAAAGGGGGTCTGTGTGAGGTCCGGAATGTTCTGCTTGCCGGAATGTTCTCTCTATTAATCGCCACTTCACCCAGAGGGGGAAAATAAGGAAGACGGATTGCCTAATACAGGCCCGGAAAAGGGGGAGGGGCCGGACCCAAGACCCAATAAATGAAGCCGGACACTAAGGGGTTAAACACAATACAAAATTCTGCTAGGGACCCCCGATTCGGAGCGCCTGCGTGAGAAGCCTCGGGGTGAAGCTGCCAACGTTAGTGTCCCCCAGCTTCCGTCTGAGGCTTCTCACGCAGGTGTTGCACACTCTCTTGCACACAGTCCAAAAAACATTTTTCTTTGGCATACTTTTCAGTGAAAGGAAATTCATATTTATAATGACCGGGAGGGAGGAGAGTGTCAGGAATATAAATCTGAGAATGAAGCGCCAAACCGCGAGCCCGATATCAATGAAGGAACACATAGAAAAATGTATAGTTGAACCGACGCGTTTCGGGGGACCAGAGACACCTCCCCCCCTTCATCAGGGCCTGAGGATTCATTACAATGTATACAGACCGGACTCAGTATAGAATACAATGTATACAGACCGGACCCAGTATAGAATACAATGTATACAGAACGGTCCCAGTATAGAATACAATGTATACAGACCGGTCCCAGTATAGAATACAATGTATACAGACCGGACCCAGTATAGAACAGACCGGACCCAGTATAGAATACAATGTATACAGACCAGACCCAGTATAGAATACAATGTATAGAGACCGGACCCAGTATAGAATACAATGTATAGAGACCGGACCCAGTATAGAATACAATGTATACAGACCGGACCCAGTATAGAATACAATGTATACAGACCGGTCCCAGTATAGAATATAATGTATACAGACCGGACCCAGTATAGAATACAATGTATACAGACCGGACCCAGTATAGAATACAATGTATACAGACCGGACCCAGTATAGAATATAATGTATACAGACCGGACCCCGTATAGAATCTTGTAGCCCTGATGAGGGGGAGGGGTGATCTCTGGTCCCGGAACGCGTCGGCTCAGTCTCTATGGAATCCAGTTGGGACGTCACGATTGGACGATGAGAACACAATTCTGGGACGGCCGGTCCGTCTCATCGGTCAGTAAGGACAGACACGGAGCGTTATGATTGGAGGACCTCCATGGGAATAGAAGACAACGTGGTAGGTCCAGCGACCACTTACTGCGCCTGGTGGGGTCCTGCGCGGTCCTGGCATCGCCGCGTCTCCTCTCAGCAGAGCCGCGCCGGGGTCACTCTCAGCTCCAGGAAAAGCAGATTACAGGAGACTTAGCAATCGCTCTCCCATAACCCCATTAGTGACGCTCTCAGCCAGCCAGCGAGAACCAGCGGCCACTCCGAGCCCTGAGACAAAGGGCCCCCCCCCTCTCCTCTCCTCCAATGAATGGAAGCCGACCTCAGCCAAGGATCTGACCCAGAAAGTGGAGGGCCCCTGAGAACCACGAGACCGCAGGGGGGGGGGATTAGATACACAGAAGGGTGAGAGGCAGCGAGAGGGAATCATCGGCAAACACCGCCGCTGGGCTGATGCTGGCAGGGCCACTTCATTGTTTACTGTGGCCAGATTCAGCAGGATTTTCACAGTGCTCCTGAAAGGGGTCCAAGTATTACAAATGGCTCACTCTGATTTCACTGCACACCGCAAGCTTCTCACAAAGCTGCAGCAAGTCAGAGAGAGCCCGCCTCATTTCCTGGCTGGAGGGCATCCAGCATCATCTGGCGCTTTCCTCCCCGGCCTGACTGTCCCTGGCCCCGCCCCTTTCATTCACTGGATTTCAGTTCTTTCAATCATGGAGGCTCAGCATCATATGTGGGTGTTACCATGGGGCGGTCTGTATGCAAATGTAGCCTGCCTAGGAACGCCCACTCCTCCAGACTGACACCCTCCCATCAATAATTCTGATATTTGCATAACTCCTCCCACTGCATCAGGACTGAGGGCTCTTGAACATTTTGCATGGCTTAGGGAGTGATTAGAATACCCGTCAGATTTGTAAGGGTGCTTATTTTGCTGCCTGTGTCCCCTTGGGGAAATTTCCCTTCACTTCCTGTCCCAGCAACACAACAGGACGTGATGGATATCCCTTCTTAGTTGTCACTGGGACAGGTGTCCCCATTGGAATATTTCTCATCCCCTTCTGTTCTGGTGACTATACATTTTGGAACTTTCAATTAGTTGCATTAAAATATCTCTCCCCCCTTCTCTCTCTCTCTTTCCTCCTCCTCTCCTTCCCCTTCTCTCTCTTCCCTTCTCTCTCCTCCCCCTCTCTCTCCCCCTTCTCTCTCTCTCTTTCCTCCTCCTCTCCTTCTCTATCCCTCCTCCTTTCCTCTCTCTCCCTCCCCCTCTCTGCTCCTTCTCTCTCTCTTTCCTCCTCCTCCTTCTCTCCCTCTCCCCTCCTCCTCTCTCCCCGCTCCTCTTCCTCTCTCTCTCCCCACTCCTTCTCTCTCCCCACTCCTTCTCTCTCTCCACTCCTTCTCTCTCCCCACTCCTTCTCTCTCTCCACTCCTTCTCTCTCTCCACTCCTTCTCTCTCCCCACTCCTTCTCTCTCTCCACTCCTTCTCTCTC